GAGACTGGACAGCCATCTGTCCGAAATGGTGTAGGGTTTCGTGCCTGAGCAGGGGGTTGGACTTGATGACCTCCAAGGTCCCTTCCAACTTTATTATTATTATTATTATTATTATTATTATTATTATTATTATTATTATTATTAATAATAATAAGTCTAAAAGCAATGCATGCACACATACACTCCCGATAATTGTAGCCCATGTAAGGATGCGGTTGGGAAAAGTCCCCGTGGTTGAGGTGGCACATGAAGCCTAAGCCATAACTTGTTGAATAATTCACCATGGGCTGGGGACCAGATAGCATGCTAAATTATGAAGCATGAATTGTAGTTATTTGTATTCACATCAGAGCTGAATTCAACGAAGCCACATTAGGGCTTAGCACATTGCTGATGTAGCCACCGGTACCTGTGTTAAAAGAATCAGCATCTGATTTGGAGCCCACCAGATGTGGAGACCAACTCAACCCAACCCAACATTGTTTGCGCAGTGAACAAATTCAACCATTGTGCTGAAACATCATATGGTTTGGTTGCTTTGCAGCCAGCATGTGTCAACCAATTGTGGTTTACCCAATTATCAAGGGTCAACTCTTAGTATAGTGCACAAACTCACTCTGTACCTAATAATCCCCAATTCATATTTACACATACTCATCCTATCAATGTCACTGTAACCCTGAATAAAGACAACTGTTGTATATCTGATCATCCAGCTATTGAGATAAATGTGTATCTTAACCTTCATTAAAAAAAATTAAATGCTGGTTAATATTATAGTATCTGATCTAGTGTGAAATTGTTATAAATAAAACCATGTCCGGTAGTTTTGATCAATTAAACCCTATAATTAACAAAGATACTTCATTCATCTTGTATTGTCTAATTTGCAGTAGAATATTAAAGGATTTCCACCAGAAGATGGGTTTGTTTAGAAATTAGAGCACACTTGGTGATGTGCTGGATTTGATTTAAAAGACACAGTGGGAGTTGGCAAAATTCACATATCATGGGGTTAATGTGGGTTAGAAAGAGCTATTTGTAACACAGAAATACTGCATACCAAACACTCACTCATACCCTTTCTTTTAAGCCTAGCTCCTATTTTGAAATGTAAGTCCCAACAAATTTGTTGGAGACTATATTCTTGTAAAAAAAAATTAATAAAAAAATCCATTTGCTTTTCTAGGCTAACATCCCCCAGACCTAAACTGCATTAAAACAATTGTCTTTCCCCATCCTCATTTACTGTTGCAAGGATTCCTTGTGTTCATTTGACTGTTCCCGATTTTGATTATTGTTGTATTTTCCCCCTAAAGTTTACTATTACTATTTCTTTGTTGTTTCACGCCTCTCTCATGTTCTGTAGATGCCACTGGGTTACATACCCGATAGAAAATGGATCTATATTAACGTACCATCTAGATTTATACACTGCACTAAGCCATGGTCCTTTTGAACGTGGTTTACTGAGTAACTTACAAAGATTCAGTTTAAGCAGATAAGACTGCGCAGATCAAACTAATATTAAGCCAAAATCCAGCAAGATTTGAGTTTTGGCACTCTGTTTTGCCTGGTTCTGGTTTAGAATATTAATTGGCCAAACCAATTATTTTATTCAGCCAACCATGGTGTTTGATTCCGATCAGTCTCTTGATTACACCTTGGTCATGCAACATGCGAAGCTGAACAGGGTTTTGTGTTCCTTGGCTTTGGCAAATCCAACCTTGCACAGGTGACTTAAGACCACAATTGAGCCCAAAATGTCTGTTGCTAAAAGAGACAGTTGTTAAGTGAGCTTTGCCCCATTTTATGTCCTTTCTTGCCCTAGTTGTTAACTGCAGTTGCTGAATTAGTAACACAGTTAAGTCCACCTGGCTTCCCCGTAGACTTTGCTTGTCAGAAGATCACAAAAGGTGAATGATCCCGGGAGACTGCAACTGTCGTAAGTACATGCCAGTTTCCAAGCGTCTGAATTCTGAGTGTGTGATCACGGGGATGCTGCAACAGCCATAAGTGTGAAAAATGATCGCAAGTCACTTTTTTTCAGTGCTCTTGTAACTTTGAACCGTCACTAAATGAAGTTGATTGTGAAGTTAAAGACTACCTGTAGTTTATAATCCACGGTTGGTGACTTAAAAGAGGTTTTATGAACCTGCCCAACTGTGATTTATTCCATAAATTGTGATTAAGCAAATCACAGATTAACACAACGTGGACTGTCCTAGAGCCATTAATATGATACCTCAACCTAAAGGACTGCTAAACGCTGAACGCAAAAGGAAAAATTGCAGAGAATCTGATAATGACAGCTGGAAAAGGATGAAAAAGCATAACAAAGCAGTTAGGCTTCAGGTAAAAAGCATTGGAATTTACTATATATGTATATATATATATATACACACAAACATTCAGGATTAGGACCAATATTTTTTCTAATTAACCAGCTCTGGCAGATTAGATCTCGCCCCTTTTGTTATTTAAAATACATATTCATGGCACTGTATTTTATAGATGCACCGTTTCTGGTTACAAAATAGCTTCTATTTTTCTAGGACATAATTTCATTTTGTTTAGCCAAGAATTCATTAAAGACGCTATAAATAACCTCCTTTAAATATTTAGCCGTGAATAGAGGGTGGACTGGCATTGATGGCTTATTTTAGTACTAACTGCAATATGCTTTAGAGCCATAAAAATCTACATTTCAGCATGTATCAAGCTAATGATTAACACCTCCAAAAAGGTTTGAGATATCCAATTAAGATGTCTGTTTGCAAGCTTACACTCCAATCCCCACCCTTTTCTCTCAGAAAAAGAGTCAAGAGGAGGGCAAAATAGAATTTGGACCATCAGGTTTTTTTTTTTAATTTGTGGGTTGTTTTTTTCTAATTTAGAAGGGGTCAACACTACTGCAAACCAAACACTTAATTTGTTGTCATATTGGAGGCCTCTGCAGGCTTTCCCATAGCCAACCATTGACACAGAAATCATATGGCAGTTGTGGCTGAGTCCATACAACTTGGTGAGCAAAAGAATGGGGATAATCTGTTTTTGGCTTAGTGTGATGTGTTAGCTACTCACTGGGTTGTCAATCATGACTTATGTCCAAACTCAGCCAAATAATTATGTGCCATCAAGTCATTGTTGACTCTTAATGACCATGTAGATAGATCTTCTCCATGTTGATATCTCTAACCTGGTCCTTCAGCTCTCCCAATGATGTCCTCATCAACACTTTGAGTCCATCCTCCTGGCCACTGGTGATCCTCTTCTTCTCTTTCCTTCCATTTTTCCTAGCATCAGAGCCTTCTCTAAAGAGCTGGGTCTTCATGTAATCTGTCTGAAGTAGGATAATCTGGTCATTTGTGCCTTGAGTAAGAACTATGCGTTGATTTGTTTGATGATCCATTGGTTTGTCAGTGGTATCCTCAGGAGTATTCTCCAATACTAGAGTTGACTTCTCCTTCTATCTTGTTTCTTTAAAATCTAACTTTCACTTCCATAGAGTCACAGGGAATACCTGTGCATGTTTCTGATCTTTATAGGTATGGACACATTAGGGCATTGGTATATTTTTTCCAACAGCCAAATAAACCATCAATAAAAAAAACAGGGCTTGGTAGATTATGCAGAGCAAGCCTTCAGCTTAGTACCATGTCTGGCATGCCTAATCATTCTCCTATCCTCCTTGCCAATGAAAACAATATTTTACATCAGAGTGCTCATGTCTCCCCACTCCCTTCAGATATTTCACTGAATACTTAGAAAGCTGAAAGTATGGAAAGACTGGTGCTGAACATATAATATGCCCTTTCCAATTTTCATACATTTTATTTTTTTATTATTATTTATTTGTACAGGTAGTCCTCCACTTATGACCACGATTGAGCCCAAACTTTATGTTGCGAAGTGAGAAATTTGTTAAGTGAGTAAGCTGCCCATTTTACGACTTGTCTCGCCACATTTGTCAAGTGAATCACTGTAGTTGTTAAGTTAGCAACGTGGTTGTGAAGTGAGTCTGGTTTACCCCTTGACATTGCTTATCCGCAAGATCACAAAAGGTGAGCACGTGACCCCGGACACTGCAGCCATCATAAATATAAGTCAGTTGTCAAGCATCTGAATGTAAAGAGAGAGAGAGAGAAAGAGAATGAAAGAGAGAAAGAGAAAAAGAGAGAAAGAAAGAGAAAGAAAGAGAAAGAAAAAGAAGAGAGAGAAAGAGAGATAAAGAGAAAGAGAGAAAAAAAGAGAGAGAGAAAGAGAGAGAGAAAAAGAGAGAAAGAGAAACGAGAGAGAGAAAGAACGAGAGAGAGAGAAAGAGGGAGAAAGAGAAGAGAGAGAGATAGAGAGTGAGAAAGAAAGAGAAAGAGAGCGAGAAAGAGAGAGAAAAAGAGAGAGAGAGAAAGAGAGAAAGAAAGAGAGAAGAAAGAGAAAGAGAAAGAGAGAAAAATAGAGAAAGAGAGAGAGAGAGAGAGAAAGAGAGAGAGAAAGACAAAGAGAGAGAGAGAATGAAAGAGAAAGAGATAGCCGCTAGAGTTGGGCAAAAAACCTTGACGTCTATTCTTTAGTTACTTACCTCTCTAGTCTATAGCTCTGAGTTTTCCTGTAGGTGCTCCATCCAAATACTAATCATATCTTTACCCTACTTAGCTTTTCAAGATCAGCTAAGGTCAGGTAGATGCTGCCAACTGCTGTAGGTTCATTCTTGACACAAGGTCTTCATGTGCATTCTTGTAGCCATCCTGAAGACTTTAGACAACAATAAAAAGCCAGCCTCCTTAGCTTGCACTAAGGGTGTATTTTTGTAAACACCAACTAAGAATTCTTCATGAGTGCTTCCAAACCAGGAAAAAAAAACGGTCCACTGCTTTGCCTTAGAAAAGTCACGTTTCCAGAAGCTTCCACCTGAGAGAACATTACGTCCCTTGAGAAACACCACCTCCACTTCTCTTCCATTTTTACTCGAAAAGTTTAATTTTACAAAATACAATTTTTTTTCCCCCTTTCAAAGAAACATCCCTGCAAAATACATGAACGCGGCATTCTGTTTCATAGATTCTATACAACTAAATCATCAGAGGTTTCCTACCTGCGGGAAAGAAATGATTTGTCAGCAGACACCTAAAAAGCAAACCTTTCAAAAACAATAAGGGATATGAGGGGAAAAAAAAAGAGAGAGAGAGAGAGCCTTCAAACATTAAAGCAAGTCATGAAGTAGAATGGTTGGTTCTACCTGAAAGTTGAAAACTGTCCTTCAAATAGCCCGAATGGTATTTGAAACCTCACGCCTGATACAGAAACTGCTCGCGTTTAGCTTTGAATGCGCACAACCCAAAAGCTTCGGGAGAATTATTCTTTTGAAAACTATTCCATGTGCTGTTGTTGTAAGGCAAACATGGGTGAAGGTGCTGACTGCCCATGGGGGATTATTAAGAAAATAAGGAGATTTCTGAAACGCTTCTTCACAGATTTGTTGGTTTAAAAATAAAAAGGGATATCAACAGGAGGTCTAAGTATGAACGATATTAAGTCAAAGCAATCTGCCGCCCTTACTAGCTAGATACAAACCATCCCTTGCCCCCTCGTTTTTGTGAAACTGAACAACGTCCCCTGTTTACGCGGGATCTAGCTTTTCTGTTGCATTCGGGCAGCTTTGAATTTTGAAACCCTCTTTGTCGTTTCTTCCGAAGCTTCGCAAAGAATCTCCTCGGAGTTTCGCTCCAAGATGGTTGGCAGGACAGGGTGAGCCATGACGGGATGTGGTATTGTGGAGGGCGACAAAAGTTCCTTCTCAACGACCATCCCTGAGAAAGCCT